CAGACAGTTGGAACAAGGAGCCAATGACTCTAACTGACCACTGGGGCCCCCTCCCGATCGTCAGCGAGTGCCTGCTGCGTGTAAAGCCATGAGGGCTGGGACCTACGTGTTGAGGATGCAGAAATAAACAGACCTAGAACAGCCCTCCATTCTCCCAGCCACAGCTTTCACACTCTTTTGATTGTGGCCTATGGTGAGAGATACATTTAAATCATACATGTGTGTATGCGCTGGGCTGTTCTGTTTCGCCTTGCTAGTCTGTTCCTTTTTTTTTTTTTTAAAGTGATTACAACCCAATGAATTGATATCTTTTGTTGGTGTCAATTCTCACCCAAGGATATTTTTGCATTGATTTTTAGAGAGTAGAAGGGAGGGGGAGAGACACACAGAGAGAAACATTGATGTGAGCGACACATTGATTGGTTGCCTCCCCCATGTGCCCAAACCAGGGCTGGGGATTGAGCCTGCAACTGAAATAGAACCCGAGACCCTTCAGTCCTCCCGCCGATGCTTTAACTACTGAGCCAGACTGGCTAGGGCCAATGAATTGATATCTTGACTCTTACTGTGCAGTGGATCAAGTTGCACAGCTAGAAAACACTGGGGAAAGATACCCAACATGTCTCCTTATAAAACAATGTATAAATGAAGCCACAGAGGTGTGTACGAACGGTATGGAGCCCTGAAGAAGACAGGCATTAGGGGCCTGGAAACCCTCTCCTATGCTCTTTCTGTTACCTGTTGTGGGGCACCTGCAGCTCACCTGTGGGAAAGTCCGCCGGCCCCATTTCCCAGCACATCTCTCACCAGCTTCTCAATGGCCTCAGCCCCACCATCGTCTACAGATACTGCCCCTGGGTGACCTGAACTAACGTCATCTGTGACACCCGCGGGGAGTCCAGGGACAGGGTAGCCCAGCTCTAGAGCTCTCTGAAGTTCCCTGAGCACAGGGGATGCCTGCCTTTCATCTGACTCTGTCTTTTTCAGCCTCAGCACCCATTCAGTGAGTCTTGAGTGGGGGATGGGGGAGAGTAGGCCCT